ACCTTCTCCTATCGCCAGAGCATCACTTGCACAGCGAAGCATCTTTACTACTGTTTTAATATCGGGCCTATAAACACTATTTACATTTTCAGCGGTCTGACTTGCGTTTTCGCCTCTGTAGAAGAAAAACTATGAACTACAGCGTATTTTATCTTTGCTGCTGCTCTGACACTTCCATTATCTCTTCTAATTTTTAAGGCCAATCACACTTACAGAACACGATATACAGATTACTAAAGCCACATAAAGCAAAAATAATGGATTACTTTTTACTAGACCCAATTTGTAAATGCAATAGAAAATACTTACCAAAATTTGTGCAATAAAAATAAATTATTTGTGTATGAAAATTGGTTTCAAAAAAAGTCAACCATAAACTGAAAATAAGAAAATAGTGTGTTTGTGGACTGAGTATGGATGAATGTACTTACATACAATACGACGAGATTAACAAAAGTTCGATAAGTAAACCAGGGAAAAAACAGTCTTTTTGGAGCAGCTACGATTTTAGATCGTGCGAAGTAAGCTGGCTTCATTACCTTTGCTGCTGATTTTTGTTGCTCAGATTTTATGAGAGGGTTTGCTCCTGTTAGTCGCCATACCATGGACTGCTGTTTAGTTTCTGGATTTTTCTTACAGAACTGAACTAGACTGACCGTTTTCGATTTTTTTTTAATTCGGCAAAATACACTCGACGCTCTTTTAGGGTCCGACTTAAAATTCGTGTTACCGATCAAGCAGATTTCTTCGTGTATCCCAGAGGAGTACTTAATATTTGCGATACAGCCATGGTATTCAAGCCGTATTCATTAGCAATCACTTCTTGTGTCAATTGTGGGTCCTCACCAGTGGGACTTCATCAGAGCTACAGTGGCGTAATCAGTGTAAGATTTTGGTCGACGTTTTCGGGGCTGGTGCTCTACGCAAAAATGTCCGGTTTGGTATCTTCGTAACCAGTTAAAAATATTCTTTAAAAACGGTGCAATCGTTCCATATGCAATTTGGCGTTCACTGAAAATTTGTAATGACTGTAAATTACCCCGAAGCTTGAAGAGAATCACATGGCGAATTTCTGTTTGCGTTGGTGGTGGAATTCCGTCTGACCTATTCTCAGCTATCTTGGGGTTTCTCGTATGCATTTAAGGTGATCGTTCTAAAATTTGAAGGGAAGACTAAAAAAGTATTTGATATTTTTAGGTTAAACAAACAAATAAAAAGTCACCAACTAGCCGAACTTTTGTTAAACCCCTCGTATATTCTCGAATCCGTTTATAGCATTTTTTAGAGTACTTAAAATATTTTTTCCACATTCAACTTTTTTTTTGAACTTTTTTATAGCACGTGGTAATTTTGTTTACTTATTTTGATTGTCAGCGCGAAGTATTACTTGCGAACAAATATTTACATACAGTTATAAAAAATTGAATCTTCATAAGCCATTTTCCTCCACAACCGCATTGATGGCTTTTTTTCTCTCAGAAAACAAGATGCTCTTTTTTTTATTTGCCTTCTAAAAAATAATATCTCCAAAAATTATAGTAAGCGATTAAAATAAAAAATTACATGAAATTTTTATTATTATCGTCTGTATTTTATAGGATATTGATGCAATGGGACGAGGACGTCTTGTGATGGCCTTTTTTGTTGTTACTTAGGAATTTCTATTTCTTTTCCAAAAGTTTAATAAAGCCGCTTGCGAAAAATTTGGTTTGGAGCTAAAGAATGAAAATTTCCAATTTCGATGATTTTTGGTGTTCCGATTATACAATATTTGCTTACTTATTTTGGACCAAAGTTAATATACCGGGTTTTCCATTAAGAGGTCTTATTTTGATATTCAAAGAAAACTGGCATTTTTTAGACAGAAGACTAGATGTTTAAAGGTGAAGATGTGTCATTAATATTGGGCAACAATAGTAGCCAAACGGCTGCCACGGCTACGCCTACAGGACCGTATTTTTTTTATGAAATTTTCCATCACCAAAACGCAATGCGGCTGCTGTATGCCATCAATAGCTTCACGGATTCCATCTTTGACATCTTGAATTGTCGTTCGCCTGTTGACCAAACAGAAGAATGAAGAGGTTTTTTAAAACTTAATCTTGGGCTTTCTTAGCGTCAGAAGCGACACAGCGTACTGGCGCAGCCATCGAGATGGAAATGAGCTGCACCATTCAAGGGGATTCGTCGATGGTTTCATTGACCTAATCAGGAAAATCATGACATCGTTGATGACGGCTTGAGTTTTTGTGTTAACTGAACTTTACGAGCCTTAATTGTTTATACCAAATACGGAATATTGACGTTTGTGGAATACCCAATTCGAAAGAAAGGCGAGGAATGGATAAAACAGATTTTTTCTTCAATATTCAATAATTAATTGGGCTACAGCAGCAATATTCTGAGTTGTTCTTAAGCAACATGCACATTCTTCACATCAATAACTTGTCTCAACAGCTTCATTTTTTCCACCAATTTCTGTTTTGCTTTCCGCCAATGTGCTTTACAATGACCGTAATATATTTTACGAACCCCATCTATACATTCTGACCAATTTTTTTTGAATTTTAATTTTTTTATTTATTATTTGGCGAAAATTTGACTTGTTGAATGTCAAAAAATTGCAACTTCAGGTATTACTTCAACCGGAAGAGCAGGCTTTTCGAAGTAACCGCAGTTATTCGAAATCTCTTTATATACATACCTTACGTGTACGTTAGTAGAATACCAAATTTCTTGATCTTGGATTGATCACCGCGCACAATCTTCAAATTTTCGTCCAGAGCTAACCCCCCGAGCCCACCCAATAAATTCGTAGTATAAATTCGTAGCACCATCTCTAACTTTTTAAAATGCACTTTACCCCCGAACTCCTTCAGGAGCCATTAATGGTCTATAAATACATTTGTGGGTATCATTTAGCACCATCTTCCCTACTCCAGAACTTCATCCTCTTCTTACCATTTGAAATTTATTTTGATAACTGCTTTAACAATAAAACTTTCAAATGTTTCAACTGAAACGATTGGCATTTTCGATTAACGTGAAATTTATCGTTACAATTTAACCTCATTCTGGAACAAAGCAAGAGTCCTCCCGCAAAACGATTAAGAACTCAACAAAATAGTATTGGCAATGGTAACCTTAAATTACGTTTTTAGTTGCTTTTTTCTTCGGGTGTCTTTAAAATACCAAAGTAGTTTTGATAGGAGCCTGTTTCAAGCATTATGGATCATATATTTTAAGTGGTGATTGGAGAAACTATAGGGGCCGGCTGATAGTGTCGCGACCTAAATTAGTTAGAGATGACACATCATCTCGTTACTGATAATATTAATTGCGGAACTCATTATAGGTATAAATAACACAACTTTTTTTATTAGGCTCATTAACATTACGTTCTTGGAACAAGCAGCAATACTATGTCAACGGAAACTAAAAGTTCTCGCAATTTGAAGCAACGCGTAGTGATTAAATTCCTTGTTAAATAGAAAGTACGTCGAAAGAAACATTTAAAGAGATGATATTGGTTCTTCAGGAATCTGTTTCTTCTTATACGATGAGGAAAAAATGGACTCGGTTGTTTCTACAAGAAGATAGACCTGTGAAAATGAACCCCGCTTGTGGCGTCCAGTGACAGTCGTGACGAAATGATATGTTCAAAAAGTCGAAAAATTAGCACTCGCTGATTGAAGAATTAAATTGTGGCAGATAGCAGAAGGATTGCGGATTAGCAAAGAATGAGCTGGAAAGATTATGCATGAATATTTGAACAATTGGGTACTGCGAAAGCTCACGCCGTTCGACAAGCAATGCCGATTGGAGAGTTTTAAAGATTTTTTGGAGTTGTGCGAAGATACTCATACAACAACAACAAAAAACCAGGAAGCTAATGTCGCGCTGTCATTGTTCGGCCTTTATCCGATGCGGAAGGACACAGAGATAATGTATGAAAGAATGAGGGAATTTTCAGTCAGCATAAACTGAAGTACATTTTAGGTGTTCCCATATCTGTAAGATAATTTACATAATTGTTTGAAATTATTGTTTACAAAATTAATAATGTACAATGTGTATTTGGACAGTTTCAGATTAGTTTCAATCTTCGGCATATCGATTATTCCTCCTTTGTGCAAGAAAAAGTTAAATAAATTTTTTGAATTCTTTCGGTGACCTGTCAAGGGATCGCAATGCAATGGATGATGGAATTTATTCCATGTACCATGACTGTATTTTTGGCTTGAAAAAAACAATCCTCATAAAGAACCATCAGCCTTTCGGAGGTGGCTTAGAATAAAGTGTAGATCTCTCCATACATATGTACATATATATCTAATCCGACAAAGTCTATTAGCCTTAATAAAATTGTTTTAACACGACTCATAGATCGCCATAGACGATTTCTGAAATCATCAAGTTCTAAAGGTGCTTTCGTCGTCATTAATAATAGTTTTTTGCCAGAAAGTTGAAAATTTGGGAGGCAAGTTTTTTTTCTAATGTAAGAAGTGAAACTTTTTTTCTACTGGCAAACTCAAAAAAACGGAGAGTCGTTCCTTCGAGCACTGGTCAGACCAACATGCAAGGATAGTAATCTTTAAAACTCATCTGTTTGATGGCCGGTAGACACTTAATATAGACACTAAATAAAATCAAATAAATATATATTTATGCATAAGAAACACACTGAAATATTTTTGGCATAAAAAGAAAATTGTTGCTATATATTTAATTACTTTTTCTTCAATCGTCTGAGGTTTGCCAGCATATCACCAACCTTCAAAAGTCGGCGCCTCTATCTTAGCAGCATCACGTTCACCTCTTCAATTCGATTTCGAAACTCAGCATATGTGTACTCATTAAACGCAATTGTCCACTAAATTTGGGTTATCAGCAAGTTCTAAGCTATTCTTCTGCGTTTGTTGAAGCTGATAATCGTAAGATTGCCATGCCAAAAGAAATTTGCTACAGCAACTTGCCAATCCCGAGCAAACAGTCTAAAATCCGCGCGCAATCTAATCGCACAAGAGACCCACTTTAGTTTGTGATACGCATTAGGCTCGGACACACAACGCACGATGGAATATATTTGCATTTTTCTATTAGCCGGCGCGTTGCTAGCAGTAAGACCGCAAAGAATATTCGACATTCATTTTTGTTCTTCTTCATTAATTAATATATTTTTTATTTTTTATTTTTTATTTTATTCGACATTCATTTTTGTTCTTCTTCATTAATTAATATAAATTTTCAAATTTATTTTATTTGCTCTCTTAGACACTTGCCGCAGCTGTTGTCCAGCCGAACGTGCAAGAGGGTCTCATCATTGCTGATTGTCTCAAAAATTATGGTGGCCTTACGGAGGATAAGGCGCAGCGTTTGGTGCGTTTCAAGGATTGGTCGGATCATTATGAAGAAATACCTTGCTTCACAAAGTGCTACATCCAAAATATGTTTGAAATGTTCGATGAGTCTGAGGGCTTTAAAGAGGAGCAGGTGATCAAGCAATTCGGCCAGCCACTCTACAAGGCGTGCAAACATCGTATGGTGCCGGCAGCAGACACTTGTCAGCAGGCTTATAATGGATTTCATTGCATTGTCAGCGTAAGTTATGAAATTGCAGAAAGAAAACACTAAAAACCAAAATTCATCTTTCTCTATCTGTCTGTCTCTTTCTCTTTGTATCACTCTCTCCCTCCCGTCCAGCTGGAAGACGATCCATTTGTACTCATCGAAAGCATGAAAAATGTCAGCACCGAAGCTAAAACTGCCATGAAAGATTGCCTACATCGCTATGATCGATATGAGTGGGAACACATGAAGGATTATGCCGCAAATCCCGTGCGTGAGCCCATTCCATGCTTCACCAAATGCTTTGTCGAGCACCTGCAAGTTTTCAATCAGAAGACACGTCAATGGAATATTCCATTATTGAGAGCGAAATTGGGTGTACCAGCGGTTGGTGCTGATATAAAGCATTGTCTGGAACGTAGACGTAATCGCAACGTCTGCGGGTGGATGTATCAAGATTTCACCTGTTTCGGCTTGGCGAGTGTTTAGTTAATAAAAAAAGATCTGAGCAAAGTGATGAAGAAAAAATAAAAGTTTGCTTTTTTTTCCTAAGTTTTTACATTCAGCTTCACCTACAGTGCACACATGCATACACGTACATACATTTATTGTTAGTAAAACAAATCAAGCGTTTTAGTGAGTAAATCTGTGAATGAATGAGTTGAAGAAGTCAACGTATTGAAAAGGCCTCAAAGCTGTGCACAGATTATTGTTGTTATTTTCAATGAAATTTTATATATATTTACATATACGAGTAAATACAATATGTATGTAAATGTTGCTTGTTTTGATGTGGAAAAATAAGTCTCATGTTTTCCTCATAAATGACGACTTGCCTATCAGTACTGGTTCCAATCCATTAAAATTTTCAAGGTAACCAGTTCGTTGTTGGCAAAGCAGATGGTGATACCGGAATAAGTAGAAACGTCGAATTGATGAATTCAGTGATAATCTAAAATATTATTGAGCTATGTTGATATGAAATTGAGTTGAGTTGAGTTGATGTGGCTGTTGATCAGACCGAATAGGACAAATTGGCCTGATACCGCAACGTCAGCCAGGCAATCAAAGACGTTATATCTCGGGTAATTATGTCGCATAGTTCTTAGGTCTGGACAGGGCTTCAACTCTGCAACTTTAATATAAATCCCACGAAGAGTATACCATTTTCTTACCGTTAAGCCCCTATTAAGTAGTATCTAGTTGATATGCCATTTTTTATATTAAAGATAAGATCAAAGACGTCTGGTCATCTCGTGTTAGCATTTTTTGCTAAAACCTAGCTTCAGCATGAGTTTTTCAGTATAGTGAGAGGTACCTAATCTCGCTAACCCATCTGCCGTACATTTCCCTATGTCTGGGCACCTTCACCACGGCTTTGTTGCCATTTAGCCGAGAGCCTGTTTAAAATGAATCTGAATTTTAATGTTACCTTGGTTGTAGTGTAATAACATTGAAGAGATCTGATGGAAGCTTGGCTGTCAAAGATGCGAGCAATCATTCTATGGTTTTTTGATCACAATAAGCTCTGATCGAAAAACGTTGCATGAGGGCATTGGTGAGTGGATACTACAACCTACCTCCTCATCGAATTTTGAACCATATGTGAAGATAGTTATGCCACTCCGATTTTTTTACTTTGCCATTGATTCGTGTCCGAAAATTTTGTAGAGAAGGGATTGTCAAAACAACAAGTGGAGGTGGCATACTCCAACTCCTCTAGAAACTGTGCGAAAGACAATATCCGAGCTTGCCATATTGTGGAATACTGTCAAGACTGAAAGCGTCCAGCTTCCACGACTATTAACGCAGTCGATGGTAGAGCTCCCATAATGAGAATATCTGTTGACCGCTGAATGCTTTCAAGTTTAATTGAAAGCAATTGCTGGCCAACAGACAGTGACCCCTTAGCATAAAATGGGTCCAACTACCGTTGTATAAATCAAATGGGCAATAGTTGGGCTTAAGCCCGCCACCTCTTACCAATGACTGCATAACATGCGTGGACCTTCCCGCCATATTTCGGTTCAGTTTGAGTTCCTTTTTTTCTGATTATCCCGAGATATTTGTGATGTGCGTGCCTTTTAGTTTGGGAGGCTTAAAAGGAAATGGCTCATATGTTCCTGTAGAAATAAATAATTCGGCTTACGCTGGATTGATATCCAACCCTCATCCTACTCCACTTAAGATAAGCGGGAGCTTCCCTGTCACTATTAGGACAATATCGTCCTACCACCCTGCAACCTGTGTTATCTATCTATCTATCAGAGGTTTTCTGCGAGCCTTACAACAGGCTGTTCAAGATCCATTTCTTAAAGCAGTTCTACTTGGGCCTCGTACAGAATTTTTTTTAAAGGACCCTTCTATGTATAAAAAACTTAGTATTGCTCTATATATGAGACATATATCCTTTGCGTATACAGGCTTTGTAGATTTTGCCTGTTAATATGGTAATAAACAAAAATATTGACAAGATTACTCACACATTTATAAATCTATATACTTACCTCCAGCGTACAAACTAAGAAGTAATCGCTTAGGAAGTGAATTTTCAAGTTTTTACACTCGAGTTTCTAAAAGGCAGCATGAATGTAGTGGTTGATTGGGTTGGCTAAGGTCCAAGACTTATTACACTTGGTAAAGGATAGATATAAATAGTCCAGAAGTGGTTATTTGGCTTCTGGTGAATGGTTGGACCACTCGTATGTTGTATCAGGTGCAGTTTTCCGATTTCCGACATAAAAATTCTGCTGAGGAGATTATGGTGTGAACTCCGAAACAGTTGTCATTTTGTTATTGTCTCTTTCTTGAGTGAATTCCGTTTGAAAAATTTCTTTCAAGCATTAGTTTTGTACAAAAACTGCCAAATGGAAGCAAATCTACATTTAAAGATTACCACCAATAAAGACACATTGCCCCTCTCTACCTTATTTCTCTGTTGTCTCTCTTTCTCATTCACTGTTGCCTCTGCTGTCTCTCTACCTGTTGCCTTTAGTGCGAGTAGTGTATAAAATATCTTTAAATTTGGTGAGCAGGATTGTTGAAAAATTTCACCAAAATAGTTGGAGAGAATATCGTTTTTCAAATGTTTACTCATTCTGGTGAGTCTAAGTTGAATTTGAATCACGATAAATACGTCTCAGCTGGTTCTTTTTTTTACCTAATTTCATGATTGACTTTCAATATTTCTGCAATAAGGACCTATTTTCGCGTATACTGTAGGCTTATGCAGCCAAAGAAAATCCACGAAAAGTTCAGAATAGGACAGAGTCAGAGGTGAAGAGAGAAGCAAGTTGCATTTACAAAAAAAACCCGTAATGCCTGAATTACCCGGTTAGCTCAGCTTTTTAGAAATGGTGAAAAACCACAAACAAGGTGCACTTATCGGCATGTTTGCAAATTTTGGTCGAATGATACAGGACTGATGATGGGAAACCAACTGTTCTCTGCCCTGCTTAATCTACAACGAAGCGACACCTAAAATCTGAGTCATTATTCGTGGGGTAAGCCTCCTGCACACCATCTCCGCATTGATTTCAAGGCAACTCTCGACAGCACAGCTGCCCACAGCTCTATCCGTATTTCGTATCTCCGCAAACCTTGTACGGAAGGGCTATCCGTGCAAAACCAAGGGCTCCGTCGGGTAGTAAGTTCTGCTTTCTCCGGAATGGATACCGCACCGTAACCGGTCTGTTTTTATGTTGGAAATAACTTTGTCTCTCATCCTACCAAGATTAGCACAAACAAGAGTCTCACTCTGCTAGAAAGTTCAGGTGGAGAGGGTCCAGGTTAGTATTTCCAATTGATGTCAAATGGTCAAAAAAAAAGAAACGCTTGGTCTGCTGTTGCTAAAGAGGCTGTAAGCGCTTTTTTGGTTTCTTAGAAGGGGACTTCTATACATAGATGATCTTTCTTCTTTCATCCTCATCTGGTGCATAATGGCAACACAAAATTTTTAACATCCGGTTAAAGAGTTATAAGAAAGGTATGCAACTACATTTCTTCGGTTGACGATATAACGTTGTTCTGACGTTATTTTTCTGATCAATGATCACCCCGTCTTAGGGGAGGAACATGCATATCAAACAACTGTCATTTCACTTTTTCCTTTGACGGCTACATTGCCAATTTGAAAAACTACAGCCGATAGCCGTGCAGTTGGCATTGCGTACTAACATTTGGAAGACCAGCGTTCGTGTCCTGGCTCGAGTCAAAATTGTAAAAAATTAATATTTCTGATTGTCGTCGCTCCTCGGCATTTAATAGCAAGCTTTCTGGCTCTTATTTCTGACAGAAAAAACAGGTCTTCATAAAAGTCGTTTGGTCGTTCAGAGGGGGTTTACAATAAACTGTGGATCCCTCCACTTTTAGGGAAATCAACGCGCACTCCAACTTAGAGGAGGAGCTCGGCAGAAAATCGCATCAACGGTTACTTAGCGCCAATTAGATTAGAAAACTGCAATTAAAATATATCAATTTAAATATAAATTCTTCGAAATAAGAATATTTACCTTCAAACGTAGAAATATTTTTTTCTTTAGTTAAAAAGTGTATTTTTCTTTAAAAAATTTTCCATCTGATGGTTTACTAAATGGATCGATGATCCATCGCAATGACGACTTTTTAGCATTTCTCTTCCACAGCACGTACTCTCCGCTACGTGCTGCTCTCTACCGCATAGTATTACACCACCAAGCTATGCGCTTACACGTAGCAACGACACTTGAATGAACCCAACGATAACCCTCGAGCATTTAGAGTACTGCTAGTAATATGACAACTGAAAAAAAGGAATAAAACAAAAATTAATAATATGGAAGAGATGGAAAATATTATCAACTTATCGTCGTCGGCATATATGAATATGGATGTGTATATACATATGTACAATATATGGCTTGGTAGTAATATTGATAAGAAATTGAAAATGAACACAAATACGAAATAAATGCGTACAAAAACAACACAATCCACATTCTACATTACAGCAATCGTTTAGCAAAGATGAAGCTAGCCAGTCAAGTCAGTCTTCACAAATAGCTACAACGCTAAAGAACGCAAACAGAAAGCATCAAATCACCAAATCACCAGAAAGACGGGAACACCTACACAACACAAAAGAACACCGTCAACGAGTTTGAATAAAATGAAATTTCGCAAAGCGTCTCGTGTGTTTTTATTAATAACACTCTCAATCTGTATACAAATGGTAAATTAAAACATTTCTTAGAAAAATAATAATAATAATAGACAACTGAGATCTCATAAAAAGCGAAACTGACCAAACAACATCTCATCATCATCATCATCATCATCATCATCATCATCACCGACATCATCGAGCCATTACTTTATTGGCATATGCTAATTATCTATTAATCTAAGCGAAAAGCCACAAAAATTAGAATGCGATGAAAAAAAATAAAAGTTTGTTTTTTGTAGGTTAACAGCGCAACGACAACAAGGGCGGCAGCAACAGCTGGCAAAAGCACACATACGGATGCAGAGATACTGCGCAAATGCTTGCGTCAAGTGGGCAGCATAGATTTGGCCAGCGAGCTGCAGAAGGTCCAACGCTACTCCAAATGGACCAAGGAGGAGATACCATGCTTTACGCGCTGCCTCGCCACTGAGAAGCGTTGGTTCGATGCGGACGCGAGCAAATGGCATAAGCAACAGATCGCCGACGATTTGGGCGCAGATATGTTCAATTATTGTCGTTACGAGCTGGACCGGTACAATGAGGATGGCTGCGAATTCGCGTATACGGGATTGCGTTGCTTGAAACAGGTAGGAAGGTGTTATTATCGTTATTTTATTGTTATTGTACTCTCTAAATTTTTTGATAAATCGCTTAGCCGCTTAGTCGAATTTCGCCAAAAGAAAGAAGTTTTTTGTCATAAGAATGAATTGTGTTTTTAAAGAAGAAATACGGTAAAAAGATACGGCCAACAAAAGAAAGTATGCTTCTAAAAATTTTGCACAGTGTGAAAAAAATCTATTCGGACTAAATTATAAATATTTTTAAATATATATTTTGGCCAAGTAAAAAGTTTATTCGGTTTTTTTTTTATTGATTTCTCAAAATATGATTACTTTGTGTACATTTCTCCGATTTAAGTCCTTGCCAGCGAAATGTCAGCTTCATTATACTCGCCTCGTAGAAGGCTGCGTCCCTATTGGCAAAAAACTCGGAGAGCCAATTTTCACACGCCTCTCTTGAGGCCAACTTCTCACCATTAATCACGTTCACTTGGTGCCAGGTCCGGACTATAAAGTGGATGCAGTAGCATCTCCCATCCGAGCTCCTGGAGTTTCTGTCGCATAACTGAAGACGTGTGTGGCCTGGCGTTGGCCTGTTGGAACACAATTCGGCCTCTGTTGTTAAGAGATGGTCTCTTCTGAGTGCTGCCTTCAAGTGGTCCATTTGTTGGCAGTAGAGACCCGAGCTGAGCGTCTGGCCTTAGCGAAGTAGCTTGTAGTAAATGATTCCTTGCCAAACACATATAAAAATCTGGTGCATCTTTGACATCGAAATTACCGGAGCGGAACCTAGCAAACCACTTTTGTGCTACACATTCGTTTAAAGTATCGGTCTCATAAACTATATAAATTTTTTCAGTCGCTTTGGCTGCTTTTTCACCTTGATCGAAGAAAAACTGTTGAACATAGCGAAATCTCTCTTTGCCTGTGTCCATCTTTGACGAGCGCTTGCAACGTACTGAGTCAATCAATCTAAAAACTGTCAAAGACAAAATTTTAGCGCGAGTAAACACGTTTCCAGCGCCGTATAGTAAGACATGATGACATCTCTTAGATAAAAGCCGAACGAACTTTTTGCTTGGCCTAATATAATTGGCGCTTTGAAACCGCTGAAGCGATTTTCGGCCGTCCTCCTCCAATTAGCGGTTTTTCGTTGTAAGGTTCTTTCCATATAATGGAGGGACCTACAGTTTATACGAAGCCACCTTTGAACGGCTCCTGGTTTTTATATGAGGAGCTTTATATTATGACATTCCCTTTCGAGGGGCGACCGTAATTAGAAAATTATGGATTTTTAAACTGAAAAAAAAATAATACCATTTTTCGCACTTCGTAATTTTCTTGAGTTATTGTGAAAATCTGGTTTTGAAAGTTGTAAGCAAACGAAAAGCTATTTGTTATTTTTATTTCTTCAATATCACTTAGCTTTTTTGTAGTTAACTTGAGTTATTCTCAAGCATTTAGATTTTCGGTAAACTGAGAAATTTTGATATAGAAATTTGAAAAGCATAAATTCGAATTCTGAGTTTCCTATTAATATAAAAAAATTCCGATACTTTGTAACATTCCTCTCTTCTTGCTTGTGAAACGTATTGTATTCCAAGCACAAGAATAAGGGAAATTCAGATTTTTGTGAGATATACTGCCTCTGCGTACACGACTACGGTTCTATCTGGAGCCATATAATTGCAGAAATATTGCAGAGAAGGAATTCTTCTATTTGTGATCAAATAAGTGTCTATTTTACTTGTAAAGAATACTATGAAGAATATAAAGTTTTTAGATTTAAGTTTGACTCAGTTATGGTCAAAGCAGCACCAATGTGTTATTCATAACATATATGTAGACTACCCAATTTCACGTCTTAAGCTTCCTTTTTTGACTAAATTATAGCTGAAAATATCGAATGTGAAAAAAACATGACATAAATGCCTCAGTGGTCCGATCGTTCTAATGTACAAGTACATCTGTGTACCAAGTTTGGTTAGAATGCCTCAAGAACTTAAGAATAAGTTGTCGTCCAAACGGACGTACAGACTGGCATGGCTAAGTCAACTCAGCTCGATATAGATTTTTAATGGGTCTATCTCTTCGCCTTTCGGTAGTATCGTACTTCAGACCAAAGTTAAAAGACCTTTTCATCCACATGGAATGTAATTGTTTTCCCACTATTTTAGATGCTCGACTTGCAAAGAGTTCAAACCCACGATCGTTCTCGTGGTAGCTCGTTCTGTTAACATTCGGCTATTGCGAGCGCCGAAACTAGAGCTAATTATATCCATGGTAAATACACGCATTTATTGTCATTAAACAGCGCTCTGTACGGTCGCATGAAATTATTCAACAAATGCACAACTCCCTCTGGTGTTATCGCCTCATAACCTTTAATGCTCCATGAGGATTCTGTTCAAAGGACGAAAACTCACTCCTTGCCGTGCTCATTAAGCCTTACCGTAATAACAATGAAAAAGTTCACAAGCTAAGGCTCATACAATTTTATCTGCTAAGAACATATTCAATTATCAAGTGAGGTATTTTATTCTGACTATGTACTTTCCTGTAATAGAATGGGTATCTCAAATAAGTTTGGCCTAAATTATTTTTAAAAAATTACTGCTAAACCGGCCTAAACCATCATCTCCATATGAGCGGTTCCAATATCTCTTTCTCACAAGATAAACTACCGAAGATCAGGCAAATATATTCCCAACGTCAAATTTGTCTGGAAGAAGGTATGCAATCATGCATGTACTCTCTTATGAACTAATCTGTGCTTGCCCATTTTTATTATTTTATTTTTAGTTTTATGGTACACTCCTACGACTATATGATCTCCTCTTGCGATCAAACACTTCAACCTAACCTAACTCTAATTTAGGGGAGTGAAGGCGATGCAGTCAGTATAATTCTACCACTGGCACAACCCAACTCGATGTCGCTTCCTAAGTTTTGACCTGGACTCTCTAACCAACTTAGCTCTTCAATATGTATTCTTTATAAAATACACCAGACGGTTTTTTTTTCACAGTGCAATCAGTGACACCACAATGCATTTGGTCAGAGAAACGTTGCAAAGTGTGTGGTTCAGATTAGTGTGTTGCAGGCAAAGAGGTCATTCTGACAGGTGACCAGAGAACTCTGTTTGTATTTTTCCGCTCCATATTTGCTTACTGACCAATTATTTCAACCTAAATATTCATTTTCTTCTGCTTTCCCTATGCTTTAGATAGAAGGACTCTGGCTAAAGGTATTTACATGGGATGGAGTTCCTAACCGAACTCAATGGATCTATATAGGGTTTAAATATTTACTAAAGTTCGGGATTTTAATGAACTTACAATAGGTTTGTAATGACCACGTCCTCAGACAATTTTGAAAACACATTATAAATGGTATAAAGAAGTTATAAGTTTGAATAAATCTTTAAACCGGTGAAGGTAATACATATGTCTAGGCTTCAGATCTGGCGTATAAAGCCCACTATATTAGACTTATTTGATTTACCCATTGCATCTCACTTAAACGATACTACGTCAATGGTGTTACCAGATACAATACATCCGATAAGCTGTACTACCACACTCTGTATTGAGCCGCTAAGCTTGAAGAATATTGCTATTCACTTCGGCCTTTCTGCCTCAAATAAGCACAACTGGATACACATAGATTACTTGTTTCCCTGTCTACATACATCCGCTTCATTTTCTGCGCTAGTTTTCCTCTACAAGAGATGCAGATTAAAGACTTCAAGAGACATCGCTAATAGTTGTAATAGCAGCCTTAAGTCCGGCTTCTTTTGGGCTAGCACAAGTTAACTCGTTCCCAAATCCTGTTCACCCGATAAAGCAAGATTACTTCCAGCGCTTGCTTCAATTCCTTTAATGGAGTAGAGTGAATAACCCCCTTAGAAAGTCTTAAGTTACCGTGGATTGCCTTTTGATCAGGAAACTAGTAAATACGAATCCTTCTTCACTCAGACAATCATTTTTCCACCGTTTCACATAGCGCAACCACAGCAGACTTCGTGTAAGTAAACTCTTAATAGTCGCTTGGATATCTCTTTAAATTTGTATTCTCTTCCATTTATATCTGCGCTCTGCTGTAGTTGGGCTCAGTAATTAAAGTGCCACTCCCTCGTTGATTTAACAACGCCTTCGTAGAAACATGCGGAGCTTTGTCTGTAAATCTGAGACCTTTTGTAGCTGAGAGCAGCTTCCCAATAAGAAGCTGCGATATTACGTCTACTCGAACACTTAGGGAAGCCGATATACTACCGTACCAATATGACCCCAGTCTCTGCTCAGCCTAAGAGCGTACATTCTCGCGGCAGATAAGAATACCCTGTTTTTAGCTACTAGGTTGGCTGGTGAAATATTAGTGCAGCACTGCAGATAGTGTTGCTTTGAGGTCCTCGGACATGCTTATAATTGAGAGTCTGAAAACCTTCTCCTGCCTATCCTGTTATTTTTTGTATTAACATTTCTTCGCTAAATTAATTTTAAAAAGGGAGTTCTAAGTTTATCATAAATAAATATAAGATTATAATCCGCCTTAGCTTTACATTATCGTTAATTCAATAAAATTTTTTCCCCCTCTCAACAGGCCGAATTCTACCTGCCGCAAACACTGAAAAATATTCTGAGCTGCGCCAGCGAGTTAAATGTCACTATGAACGAGCTGAAAAAGTACGCCGGATTCCCCGAAAAGGAGGTGGTGCCCTGCCTGTTTCAATGCTTAGCCAAAAAGTTGAATTTCTACACATCAGACTACGAGTGGAATTTCGATAATTGGATAAGGGCTTTTGGACCCATGCGCCAAGATCGCTTAGCTTCGATAGTTTGCAAAGTGAGTGCTGAACACATTGCGACGCGCGACAAATGTGAATGGATGTATGAGGAGTATAATTGTTTGGAGCGCTTAAATTACAACACAGATGGCTCTTATCCGTTGACGGAAACGACGACGCTGAGTGCTGCGCTTGCGAGTAAAAATTCAAAAACAATGGAAGTTGTAAATACTTCTTGATTTATATCTTAACTGTATTTGTAAAATATTATATAAGTACATACATAAATATAATTAGCTGTTCGGCATTTTATATTTAATTAAATTATTATTTTTTATGAATTTTTGTTTCAAATAAAACCGAAAAAAGTCATTAACTTTGGGTTGTCATCTTTGTTTCTGATACAAAAATTATTAAGCCGCCCCCTTAAACCCAATTGTTGTATACATTCATGCACAAAAAAGTCGTTGAGTTAGGCTCTAAAGCGTTCCCGATTCTAACTTTATGGTCGGTTTCATAAGTAACTTTTTTGAAGATGTAACGGTGTCTCAACAACGGCTTGTGAATTATCAACGAAAAGCGATCTTCATCTCTGAAAGTAATTTTCTCGTGAAAATCGATATGGAATGCCATCTCGTTTTGAACCCATTCACCGATCGTTCGACGGCCTGGTGGTCGTTCGATTGCAATTATTACACGAGTTAGATTTTTTAAGCTCACAACTCAAGAGCCTCCCACAAAATCTTAAATAGAGTGGATAAGCTGCAACTGTCACACGCAATGATATATTGACTTACTCGGATCTTCTCAGATACTCTGCTCCACAGCAGAAATAGCGTCTGAGGATGCGCAATATTCATTAGAATAAACGTGTGCTCGAATTACGGGCTTCGCTGGGCGTTTGTGGCGAAATTTGTTTGAGCTCATTGTCGACACGTCTAAAAAATACACCGATTGTTATGAATTACTGCACATTGGCTAAAAGATATTGGTTAAGATTTTAGTAAGACCCAAACTTTATAAAGAGTTACTGTTTTTTTTTACTGGCCTAGACATCGCTTACGCGATTATAGCCGATTTAGCAGCATTGTGCGATTCGTTTCTTCTTTTTGCTATTTATCGCCTATTGGAAATACCAATTACAGCCAGGTCCTCCTCTACCTGGTCTTTCCAATGGAGTGGTGGTCTTCCTCTTCCTCTGCTTTCACCGGCGGATAGTGCATCGAATACTTTCAAATCTGGAGTATTCGTCATGTGGTCCGGACCTAGCCAGCGTAGCCGCTGTTCGTCCATTCGCTAAACTATGTCAATATCGCCGTATAACTCGGACATTGGCTACGATATTCGACGTTGCTAACGCGCAAAAGGACCATAAATCTTAAGCAAAACTTTTTTTACGAAAACACCTAACGCCGACTCATCAGATGTTGTCATCGTCCATGTTTCCGCACATAGCAGGACGGGAACGATAAGCAACTTGTAGAGTTTGGTTTTCGTTTGCAGAGAGAGAACTTTACTTTTCAATTGCGTACTCAGTCCAAAGTAGCAGCTGTTGGCAAGAGTGATTCTGCGTTGGATTTCAAGACTGACGTTATTATTGGTGTTAATGCTGGTTCCTAAATTCACGAAGTTACCTACAACTTCAATGGCCTGATTGTCAACAGTGACGTCGGAGCCGAGTCGCTAATGCGACGATTGTTTGTTCAATGATAGAAGGTATTTTATCATGTGCTCATTCACTACCACACCCTTTCGCTTCGCTTCTTTATCAAGCCTGCAGAAAGCAGAAGTAAAGGCGCAGTTGTTAAGGCCGATAATGTCAATATCATCCGCGTACGCCAGTAGTTGTACACTCTTATAGAAGATTGAACCTTCTCCATTCAGGTCTGCAGCTCTTATTATTCTCCAGCAATAAATTAAAAAAAGTCTCACGATAAGGTGTCACCCTGTCTGAAGCCTCATCCTTACCGATCCTGACGGAGCTCTTAGTGCTGCTTAACGTCAACTTACGTAACCGTATAAGTTTTGCCGGGATGCCAAATTCAGACAAAGCGACGTAAAGGAATCCCGTGCAATTCAAGGCGACTTTAAAGTCAACGTTTCTCTTTTCACGGGTCTTTTCCAAGACTTACCAGGTCTGAAGGTACACTCATAAGGTGGAACCCAAGTTTGTTGACGGTTGGCTTTAGTCTCTCACACAATACGATCGATAGGACCTTATATGCGATATTAAGGGCGCTTATCCGACTATAATCGGCGCAGACTGTGGGATCTCCTTTTTTATGGATTGAGCAGAGCACACTTAATTTCCATTCGTCGGGCATGCTTTCGTCCGACCATATTCTGCAAAGTTGCTGATGCATGCACCTTGTCGGCTCGTCACCCCCATGTTTAAACAGTTCAGCCGATAGGCCGTCAGTGTCGCCGCTTTGTTGTTTTTTAACGGTCTGGAACGTCTTTTCCATAGCCATCGAACATGGTTTCGGGTTCATCTTCTCCGGGTGATTCAATTTCGCTGCCATTCAGCTGGATGGAGAAGTATTCCCTCCATAGATTTAGTATTCTCTGGACATCGGTGGCTAAATCACCTCTTTATGTCCAAAAGAGTCTGCTCCGGTCTTGAAACCTTCCGTAAGTCGTCGTATCTTCTCATTAGAGCTTAAGAGCATTACCCTTGTCGGCCAGCTTACCAAGCTCACACATATTGGCCTCTTTCTTTTTTTGTCTACAGATGCGTCTAGCTTCCCACTTCATCTCTTGGTATCTATTCCGTTCGGCACGTGTTGTGGTCAGTTTTCTCTCCACCGCGACTCGAGAGCCTTCATCGTACCAGCAGGTTTTGCGACCTGTACGAAAACGGTTACTGTATACCCAAAAAAATGAAGTCGGATAATATTTTCAGTTAACCCTCTACCTGTCGTAATAACCTATTGGGTGTACACATTAGTTCGTGCGGTTTTTTCGAAAATTAAGACTTTATTGTGAAAAAAATGATTTTAGTCATCTGGAAACGGTGGCTTGATCAACTCGTTTTACTTTTGCAAGTTCTTCTTGCGTCTGGCATGCATCTGCGCCGAGCAATGTCTCCGATTCTTCGTCTTGAAATTTTTTTGCCTGTCCGGGTCGTTCTCCGTCGTCTAAGTCGAAATTGCCACTTTTAAACCGTGCAATCCACTTTTGAAACTTTCATTCGGTTTAAGCATGGTCACCATAAACGTACAGTAAAACACGATGTCTTTCGGTAGCACTTTTCTTCATGTTAAAGTAAGGAAGAAGAACTCCCCTCAAAAATACTTTATCTGGTACAAATTTCAACATTTTCAAATGAATGAAACTAATTTTTGTTCACGCTAAAATAAATGAAATCTACTGAAAACGACGCAAAATGATAGTACCTTTGAAAGGAATATAGCCACAGATGAGCACGACGCGGAATGATACTAGTAGAGCCCTCTCTTACAAATCCGCACGAATTAATGCATACGGCTCTTCAACGCCATATTTAGACAGCTCAGCTGGCAAGTTATGGGCTGCCGACGCTTTGTTAATCTTTAAGCAAGGAATTTGTTTTCGAACTTCTTCTTAGCCGAGTTCCTTTTCTATCATCATGGTTACATTTTCGCTACTATTCATACTCATTGATTTCGAGCACCCTTTTTTGTCGGCAAATGCATCCTTCTTCTCCCCTTACGTTGTGTGACATGCTCTTTCATACATAACTCATTTCGGGCTCCTTTATATGCTTACTGATTTGCAGCACCACCCTTTCCCACTTTTATCGCGTCACGTTTCCTTATATTAAGAGCTTAGCATCGAATCGTGATATCTAAAGCATACATAAGAATCTTAAACAAAATTGGGGTCTCTTATTTGTGGTCTATCATGATTTTTTATAGCAGTATATATATGATGTGGTGGGAGCCAAACCCTACGCAGGGGTCACTTCCTTATTTCAATTCGGCTACAAACGGATGTTTGTTGGCTACGCCAAGCATACTTGGCCTCAGACGAGATGTCATTGCCACTCCCGTCTGAATGGCAGTCAAAAACATTTCCCACTTGCATGGTATTCTACATCCACCACTCATGGATTTAGTTACATAATTTCATGCTAAACACGCCAAAGAGGAGAAAAATTAGTAACAAATAAATTTCCGATTTTGTAAGCAAAAAATAAATAATTTTATTCAAGAATGTTTTGCTAACTCGTTTCTATGTTTATTCCCTCTCGAGATGAATGTTTAAGAATGGCTTGGAATCTACAAGGGCAGAGTAATAACATTCCAAACCACACTAATTTTTCTCAATCTGTCAGTGATTATATTCCTGTGAAGAAATTGGAATTTTTATTTATATTTATCGAACTTATTTACAAGTCTCTAGTCCATTCCAGGAATGTTTATCACTCAAAAACTTAAGCAAATAGAGCCATAAATATTTTAATATATAGTTTCGGATCGGTCCACTTCCTGACAAAAAAAAAGCTATAAATAAGATTTTTCAAAGAAGCCGGTTCTTTGTCGACTTCCACTGGATACTAAAGTAGTTTTCATACAAGTCTAACCAAGAATCCACTTATGTATCAAATTTCAAATGAATCGAACTACATACGATTTTTTCGAATAGGTCGGCCAGTGGTCCACTTCGCGGAGAAAGAGATTAGTCTACCTGCTAACTTAATTAAAAGCCACCTATGCACCGAATTTCATGTGAATCGCAGAAAATGATATTTTTCGGTTAAGTCAGTTCCTGGTCCATTTCCTGAATGTTTCTGATCGTTTAAACTTCTCCTGAACTTTCATAAGCTAATTAAGATTTTATATTTCGGCAATTCATTCTTGTAAATATGTGTATTCAAGTTTTATATATTTATATCTTTTTCAAAGTGGAAATTTCACGAATATCATTAGAATACTTTCAGCAATTTAAGAAAACTAAAATTGGCCAAACCAAATAAAAGTCACTGGAACTTGAGTTTATTTTTTATTTTAATTTTTCACAAAAACTATATACATATAAATTTAGTATAAAAAACTTCAAAAAAAGTTCACTTAATCACAATCCCGCAAACACCCCTTATGCATTTCGTCACATTTAATTCGCAATGTAGGTTTTGCGCACGATCGGCCGATTAACAGAAATCCAACAGGAGAACACACGATTAGCCCAAGTGCAAGTATCCGAATCGTGTTCATTATGATCGAGGCACTTCTCCAAGCCATGTGAGACTTTAGCCAAATTTTTGGAATTCTTTGCGGTAAACTGTGCAATAATGGCCTTCTCATCGAAACCCTTCTCCTCGGTGAAGAGTCCCATACGCTCCACAAAACACTTCACATAGCAGTTTGTACGTTTGTGTGGTGGAAATTCGTAATTCAAATATTTCTCATAAATATCATCGGGTATGCGGAATTCGTCACGACACGCCTCATGTGCGGCGAGCGCATCTTGTGCGGTGCGAAGCTCGAATTTGCCAGCGACCTGTTAATAGAAAAGCAAAATAAATCGAAATGTTTAATAAGACATGAATAGAACGAAAGCAAATGTTGAAAATATAATAAAATTATGATAATAATAACTAGAAATATGTGTAAGTTACAATACGTTTGCTAAGCCAATCCAGTTTAATATTAATTTTAAATTATATTTATTATTAAATTTATTTTATTTTTTTTTTATATATAAAATTTTTTATTTTTTGTTATTTTTTATCGTTTACATTTTCATTTATTTATTTTTTTTTTTTCTTTAATTTTCTTTGCTTCCTTTCCATTACACCCACTCACCAATGCTACACAGGCCAACAACAAGATCAGCTGGATCTTCATTATAGCTTATTATTATTATCAGCTACTTTTTCTCCGACTTTCAACACACAGTCCGTCCGTTCGTCTTAACGGATCTTATCGCAAACAAGCAGGTGAGCAAGCGAGCGTTCGATGAATTTATGGGTTGTTTAATGTTGTAGGTGACACAACGGACTAAACCAGTATGCAAGATCTTTTCACAATTTGTAGGTGTGTGACTTGAATTTAAATTATACTTATAGCAGAAGAAGTATGAACGATAAAATAAAAATAAATATATAAATTACTAAGCTGACTGTCGGCCGCTGTTTGATATAGTGTTGCTGCTCCGCGTCGAGGCTGAGACTGAGACTGAGACTCTGACTGACAATAGTCATACATAGCTGCCGCTTAGGAAGTTGGCCACATACAATACAATACCGCTCGTTGACGTAGTCGAGGCAAACAGGCTGCGCCACGACTGGGTGCAGGTTTTTCTCGAAAGTTCAAGCAACATGCATACCTACGTATATCTATATATACCTATATATGTATCTATTCATACGTGAACGTTGTTGCTTGAAATGCCTGTAATATGCGCCAAATGAACCACAGCAACCGCCAGCAACCATCAACCAACTGCCACTATCCAGTCAATCAGCCATCGAAGCTGGTCGTGCAGCGTTAGTCTTGTCTGACTGTGGTCTCTGCTCTGCGTTAAGTTTTATTGTTTTTATATTTTTGGTTGCCCACATTAGCATTCCATACGAAACTCGTTTTTATGCTTCTTCCCAGTCTCCGACTCCCGGTGCCGTTTCACTTGCACAATTTTACCACCCGTCAATACCAAAGACTATCCCTTTCATTGTTTCTGAGCTTGTTTTAACTGTGCTGGCGTATAGCAGTATTGTTATATAATATTTGTATGTCGACGTAACTCTTTCGTTACTCAGAACGTAATGAAATAGGAAATACCTTACAACGGTGTTTTTTGTAATCACTTATATATTAAAATGAATAAAAGTTTTTTTCTGTACATCCCTTTTATCATTTTACAGACGCATTTACAGTCGCAGTCTTATTCGTAACTAAAATAAAATATATTGTCGGCAAAAATTATACAAAATTTGGAAAATTTGAAATCCTTAAATGCTTTATTACACTTTAACTTGTTGTAAATTTAATAATTAATATATTTGGTTATTTTCTTTATTTTTCATTACTTTAATTTGGTTTCAATTTATTTTAATTTCATTTATATAATTTAAATTTATTTATCATTATTTATTTCATTCAATTTAATTAGTTTTATTTTATTTTATTTTTTTATTTTATTTTATTTTATTTTATTTTATTTTATTTTATTTTATTTTATTTTATTTTATTTTATTTTATTTTATTTTATTTTATTTTATTTTATTTTATTTTATTTTATTTTATTTTATTTTATTTTATTTTATTTTATTTTATTTTATTTTATTTTATTTTATTTTATTTTATTTTATTTTATTTTATTTTATTTTATTTTATTTTATTTTATTTTATTTTATTTTATTTTATTTTATTTTATTTTATTTTATTTTATTTTATTTTATTTTATTTTATTTTATTTTATTTTATTTTATTTTATTTTATTTTATTTTATTTTATTTTATTTTATTTTATTTTATTTTATTTTATTTTATTTTATTTTATTTTATTTTATTTTATTTTATTTNTAATTTAATTTAATTTAATTTAATTTAATTTAATTTAATTTAATTTAATTTAATTTAATTTAATTTAATTTAATTTAATTTAATTTAATTTATTTTATCTTAATTTAAATTGATTTAATTTATTTTAATTTAATTTGATCTAATTTATTTTAATTTAATTTAATTTAATTTAATTTAATTTAATATACTTTAATTTAATTTAATTTGATTTAATTTAATTTATTTTAATTTAGCTTAATTTAATTTATATAAATAATATAATTTTATTATATTTAAGTTTATATAGTTTGAATTTATTTTATTTTATATTAATTTAATTATATTTCTTAATTTTATTTTATTTATTTTAATTTACTTTATTATTGTTTTACAAATTTTTTTTATGTTATTTTATTTTATTTTATATTGTTTAACATTTCCTTATTTCGTTTTATTTCATTATATTTTATTTCTTTTATTTAATTCCATTTTATTTTATTTTTTTAAAAATTTATCTGACACTAATAAACGCGTATACCCAATTTAATTGTAATCTCAAAATTTCTAATAGTTTAATTTACAAATATCAACTATCAATCAATTTATTCACAGTAACAAATGATCGAGCGCGCATATCCGTTTATTAAATTGATAATTTGAGGTTAATTTTTAGTGAAAAGCGTTAAATGCTGGACGAGACCGCACGGCAGCCACAGGTTGTAATTACATGCGATTTATTACGAGTTAATGCGTTTTTCGTGCACCCACACTTACGCACAGGAAAACACGTCCCGGTGAGAGATGAAGTTAGGTTTGAGATCTATAGGGACTACTCTAGTATTTATCGTAACTGATTTGAATCGGGCCTGAGTTAGCCTTAGCTGTAGCCAGAGTTAAAGCGATTACTTTATTTCATTTCCGGTCATATACGATTATGTATGTATATCTAAAGGGCTGCCCATTATTTTATACAATTAAAGCATATGTTTTAAGGACTAGTTTGATTGCGAAAATTACTAATTATAGGCTGAATGCATTTTATGTAGCTTAAGTACATTTATGTATACACATATGTACATATGTATGTGTAAGCAGAGCAATATATTATTTAATGTATATTAAACAATCAATGCCCTTACGTGCAGACATGCACATACACATATGTATATATATATGTCCAAACAAAATTTCTGCTGCATTGCAATGTTATTGTTCTCATGGAACGGAAATGAACGCTAATACACATATCAACATACACAAATTTAAACTTGTAAAGGTATATGGGTTCGCACATATGGGCTGGTCTTTATTGGTTGGTGTTTTTTATTAATTATTATATTGCAAATTTGTATTTAATGTAATTAATCCATTGTTATTCGCGATTCATATGCACAATGCATGGAAAACAAATACAAAAACCGCTTGTATGATTGCACTTAATGTACCATATATTTATGTATGTATGTATGCATGTATACTAATATGTATATACTCAGAAACATTTATCGGTTAAGTACAGAAGTGTTGAAAATTATGTAGGAATTTTCAAATTTTCTTCTTTATTGGAAATTCCAAATGATAGCTTTACTGATTCCATTATAATGCTCCTTTCCAGACTTAGAAAAATTTTATATTGCTCCATTTGTTCGATAAACAACAATAAACCGTTACTTGTAAATAACACAGACTATTTTGTCTTGATCGAAATCCAGCGCCAGAAGTCTGATAAAAATTCTACGTCATCTGGATTTTTATACTTTTGTATATCGATTATATTTCAGCTGAAAGCATAAAGATAATCAAATTGATAGCGAGTTGCACTCAGGTAAATCATTATAGTGAGATGAAATGAAACATTATTCCTTATCTCAATATATTTCAAAGATAGACCCAATACTTGGCTTGACGGCAAAAAAACTTCTAAACAGTAGAATTTTTTCCTTGGCAGTTCTCTAGAGTTTATGCATCTACCTACATCAATCTGACCTTTGTTTTTACCTTAATACCCTCTGCTATTTTTTCCAACGTTATTGTAAGCAGGGAATACACTTACGTAAGTGGCATACTTAAATGATGTATGGCATTATGGTCTACATAATAGCACTCACGTGGGTACACTCATACATATAAACAATATTTACATAAGCAACGATAAGTAGTCACTTATATTCACATACATATGTATGTTGCTATTGCTCTGAAAAGGGTTTATGATATCAGAAATTCAAAAACCAAATTAAATTTTCGAGTGGTTTTATGAATTAATATATCGACATTATAAGAGGTGGTAATTGTTAATTTTCAGTGACTAAGTACCTTCGAAATCCAACGACTCATTTGTCAATTGCTCTTCACAGCAATGCTAATTACGATAAATGATTAAATTTTGGTTCAAATTTAAATAAATTGCTTACAAAGAAATTAATTAAATAATTTCATGAATTTAATCAATACTTGAGTTATTAGCGGGTTAACAAATTTAATTAAATATAATTATTTTCATTAGTTTTGTTTTATGAGAGAAGCCCTTGTAGTAAGGAGATAAGGAAACAACAGCAGTGAAATAATAAACCAATAAGTTTAAACGAAAGTAAAAACAAAGAAAGTAAAATATAATTAAATGAAATGAGTAAAAAAATTAAAATTAATGTTAAATAAAATAATAACAAACAAAATAAAAAATAAACTTAAATTTAGCGTTATATATAAAACTTCGATAAAAATAAAAATAAAAATAAAGTAAAGTAATATAAATAAATGTGAATATAAATAATTTAATTAAAGTAAAAAAAAAGTTATAGTAAAATAAAATTAGAAAATAAAGTAAATTAAATTATATAGAATACTACAAAATAAACTAGTTTAAAATAAAAGAATATAAAATCAAATTAAAAATATTAAAATAAAATGGAAAAATTATTTATAAAAGACTAGAAACTAGAAACTAGAAACTAGAAACTAGAATAAAATCAAACAGCTAAATAACATAAATAAAACCAAAGAAAAGTTTAAAAAAAAGTAATGAAAATGTAATAATGTATAATACTAAAAATAACAACAAAATAAAATAAAATAAAATAAATTAAACAAAAATTAAATAAAAAAATAAATAAAAAAAAGAATATAAAATGAAATACACAAAATTAAATTAAAATATTTAAAATAAAATAAATAAAATAAGATAATGTAAAATCAAATAAAAAATAATAATGTAAGACAGATGAAAAAAATTAAACAATATAAAATGAAATTAAATATAAAAAAATTTAACGCTCAAGCAAACAGTTAGATCAAATAACAAAAAAATAAAAGGTTAAAAAAATCAAAAAAAAAAAAATTTTATAAAATATAACAGAATAAAATAAAATTAAAAAAAAAAAAATTAAGCAAAAAAAAAAATATCCAATAAAATGAAATAAAACATAAAGCATTAAAAAATAGTACAATAAAGTAAAAGCAAAAAAAAAAAAAAATCATAATAAAATAAAAAAAGGTAAACAAAAAATAAATGAAATAAAAGAAATAATTTTAAATAAAAAAAAAATTTTAAAAATTGAATGAAATAAAACAAAAAAGAATAAAATTTAATGCAATAGAATAAAAGCAATGGCAAAGAAATATGAACAAAAAAGAAAATAAAATGAAAATAAATAAAACACAACAAAAGTTTAAAAAAATAAAGAAAATGTACTATGATATTAAAAATAACAACAAAATAAAATAAAATAAAACAAAATAAATAAAAATTAAATAAAAAAAATAAATAAAAAAAGAATATAAAATACAAAAAATAAAATTAAAAATTTA